AGATCGACTCTACTAAAAATTTAAAGAAGAATCAAATGCCGGAATATAATTCCTTAACCGATTGTTACCTATTTAAGGCAATCGGAAAGATCATTCGAGAGAGGGAGAGAAGTAGACAAGTGCTCTAAAGTGTTTCGAGCTCTCCGGAGTGTACTGTGGTTGTGAAAAAGTGGCAAATGAGCCTCCTATTTATAGTTTTTCGCAGCTGGCGCACTTTGGGACGGCCGTCCGGGTTGGGACGGCCGTCCGGACTGGGATGGCCGTCCCAAATGGCAAATTTACACGGAGCGGGACCCCGGGGAGGCGGGACGGCCGTCCCACTTAAGCTCGGGTTTGGGACGGCCGTCCCACATTCGGGACGCGCGTCCCAACTGCTTAATTGCAGTTGGGACGGCCGTCCCACTTTTGGGACCGTGGTCTCGCCCTGTTTTGTCCAGTTTTCGCGTTCTGGGACCCCGGGAAGCTTTCCTTGCCGTTTTCGGACTTGGATTGATGCCGATATATGTCCGTTGAAGCTTTATCTTCATATAGGAAGTCTTCTTGGCCTTCATTAAGATGTCGGGCGAGCTTTGTCTTTGTGTAGGAAGTCTCTTTTGGCTTTTATTGTGTGAATGAGTGAACTCCGTCTTGTTGCAGGAGGTCCTTCTCGGTTTTGGGAAGCCGAATGAACTGCATCTTCGAGTGAAATTCCTCTAGCTTTTATTTTGAGAGGCCGGGCAAAATTAGGGGTCTACAATTGTGTATTCGTGCACTTCCAGGATACTACTTCTGACGTAGCTGATCACTTTGGTGGACACGTGGTAAAACCTCAGGATACTCCTTCTGACGGTAGCCGATCCCTCGGTTGATGGGTATGAACCCCCCATCAGGCTGGTAGTTACAGTCCGTTGTGTGGGACTGGATGGGTATGAATCCCCCCATCAGGCTGGTACGGTCCGTTGTGTAGGACCGGATGGGTATGAACCCCCCATCATGGTGGTATAGTCCGTTGTGCGGGACTGGATGGGTATGAAACCCCCATCAGGGTGGTAGTGCGACTTACTGATCCAGCTCGAGCGCAGATCAGGCGCAACGCGTGCGTAGGTTGATAGGTATAAACCCCCTATTAGGCTGGTACAGTCCGTTGTGTGGGACTGGATGGGTATGAACCCCCCATCAGGGTGGTAGTGGCGGCTTATTGTTCAGGTGGCCCATGCGCCATTCAGGCACTCCTTGTGTGCTGGTTGATAGGTATAAACCTCCTATCAGGCTGGTACAGTCCGATGCGTAGGACTGGTGGTGGTGGCGGCTTACTGCTCGGGTGGCTCATGCGCCGTTCAGGCACTCCTTGGGGAGTGATTTCCGTTTTTCGGTAGCTGCTCTTGGACCTCTTTGAATGGTCATCTGGGTTGTACCGGGGATTTTTTTGGGCGTTTCATCCAGCTTTGTTGGTTGCTGGGGATTCTTTGTTTTTGCTCTTTTGGTGGCGACTATCCGACTCTTGCTGGCTGGTCGGATTGAGTCTTGTTTTTGTTCAACTCTTGCTTTAGTAGTCAAAATTTTATTGGTTGAGATCCAGCCTTTTTTCTCGCAATTTTATCTCTTTTTACTCGCGATTTAGGATTTTGTCTTTTCTTATTGAGCGTATGCCTTTTTCCTTTTTAAGCTTTTTTCTTGTTACGCTAGCTTTTGCAAAGGGCGGCAAAGAGATGCATGAAATAAAATTTTATTTATGGGGAAATTTTATTACAACCACTTTTTGTTCAGGCAAGTATCGTCCCTAAGGGCTATCTTCTGGAGATGATCCGCGGGCGAATTGCTGGTAGACGTGATATCGGAAGTCCGCTTGCTCTCGGACTTCGTCGCGGTATTCTTGCTGGAATGTCGTCCATTCCTGCCGCATCGCCTGCTGATGCTGGTACATCTCCTCTTGCCGGGTATGGTAGGTCTCTAGCCGCACCGTCATTTGGTCGAACTGCCGGCGCAAATCGTTCATGTTGCGGTTCATACCGGCGAAATCGTCCGTGTACGGTGGTGGTTGTTGTTGTTGTTGCTGCTGCTGGAATTCGGGGGGCGTGGGGATATCCTGCATTGCCACTAGCCCCTGGAGGTCTAGTGCGAAATCCAGTGTAGGATGGAGGGCCAGCTGGGTCCCTCTGCGGATCAGCATTCCCATGCTGACCAAGATTGACCCGCCGATGGATTCGGGTCGCAGGTTGTGGGCCAGCTCTTCCCTGCCAGGGCACCCCCATCTTTCTGCTAGGGGAGTGATGAGGGGAGCCATAAGAACGATCCCCGCTGATCTGTTCCCGAAGTCCTTGAGGGCTCTCAGGAAGAAGTAGCCGGGGTTGCAGCGCCGCTTCTGGCTCATGCAATAAAGTACGAAGAGGTCAGGGAGGGAGACCTTGCCCTGACTCTCTTTTCTCCCATGGATGGTTCTTGCCAGCAGCTTGTGGCAGATGCGGAGTGCTGGGGGCAGCGCGGAGCCCCTCATCAGTGTGGGCAGCGTGGTGGCTCCCGTGAGCTCGTTCCACATCTCGGCGGCAGTGAGGTTGGTGGGCCGGGAGCGAGATGGCCTCCGGTATTCCTGGGTCACTGTGTCCTCGGGCCGGACAAACTCGATGGCCATGTTGAACTCGTCGAGGGTGGTGGCCTGGTAACTTCCACCCATGAAGTAGGTCACCATCTTAGTGGGCGGCAGGCCCGGGACCGTGGAGGGGACCTCAGAGTAGGAGACCGAGGCCAAGAATTCTAGTACCGCCTGTGGGTACACATGTGTGGGTGGTGGCTGCAGCAGAAAACCCCACCCGATGCTGTCAATGTGGGCTCGGACGTCGTCCTCCCATCCAAATTCTGCCAGGAGGCTGAAGTCCAGCTTCAGCATCGGGTGCCACACATAGGTCCGGATGTTGTCAAGGCAGGCCTGGTGCTGCGGTGATAGTTGCGAAGGATCTTGGGGTGGTGGCGCTGCAGAACTACTGGCACCAGCGGTGCTCCTTCTCTTTCTAGATGCGCTTCTGCCAAACATTTTGACTATGGGGTGCTTCGGAGAGCAAAAGTTGAGAAAGGGAGGTTCTGGAGGCAAGGAGAGTTGTGAGAAACCCCCCAAGCGCGCCCCTATTTATAGGATTTTTTTCCAATTCGAGACTGCCGTCTGGGAAGGCGAGACGGCGGTCTCGTGTCTCCTCCAAATCGAGACGGCGGTCTGGTCCATCGAGACGGCGGTCTCGACGTTGGGCTTAACGAGACGGCGGTCTGGTCGAGCGAGACGGCGGTCTCATTTTCGCCTGAGTCGAGACGGCGGTCTGGTGGGTCGAGACGGCGTTCTCGTCTTGGAGGGTAATCGAGACGGCGGTCTGGGATAACCAGACGGCGGTCTCGATTTAAGGAAGTTTTTTTTTTTTTTTTAAAAAAAGAAAAAAGAAAATAGGACCTGGTTCAAAAACATTTTATGCATGCAATGTTTTTATGTCTTGATGTCCTATAATCCTATTTTGATTAAGCTTTCAGAAGGATTTAACCAACGTGTCTCGTTGCGGTGAGTGCCTCCTGACTTGCTACGTTTACTTTTGGCTGTACCATACCGGACTTCTTGTGACCGAAGGGTAATTTCTTTCTTTCTCTATTTTCTCTTTTTCTTCTTTTTCTTTTGTAAAGCACCTTTTGTCACGTAGTGTCCCTCTTTCTTTGCTTTAGGGATTTCAATACTCTTGTTGACTATACGCCTCCATATTCCCAAATTAATTATTAGAATATTGTCGTGAGGGTCAAGAGAAAAGAAGTAAAAGGGTAAAAATCAATGGTTTGTGTTTTAGAGGGTTGATTTTTATTGATAAAAGGGTTTTGTAAGAATGGATGGTTAGGGTTAAGCTTAGGTGTCTAGGCTTCGTCTAAGCAAGCATTTTTCCTTTCTTTTTGTATTTGCGCTCTTTGGTTTTATTTCCATTGCTTTTTAAATGGCTAGCTGATTTCCCTAGATCGCCCTTTGGGTTTTCGAACTAGGATACTGTGTGTTGGCCCTAACTTTTGTCTAGGTTCCTTCTTTTGTAAAATTTTGGAGAAATCCTAGCGGACCTTATTTGTAACCCTAACTTTTGCCTAGGCTACCCTTTATTGTTGTTCTGGTATCCTACCGGGTCGACCCTATCTTTTGTGTAGCCCCCTTAGTGGGTTTCCTACTGGGTAATTTGCCTTTTTCTTTGGCCTTTGGCTTCTCTGGGCTTTTTCTTTTGTGGATTTATTTTTTTGTTCACAGTATTGGCGAAGCATGACTTTCTTTATGGGTGAGGTGAAGCCTTATTCTTATGTGCTTCTAATCAACTAGCTTGATGGTCATAGCAATGGTAAATGTTGATTATTTGGAAGCGCTTTTTGTTCTTCTCTTTTTTTTTTTATGTTTACTTAGACAGGGTTATTCACGTAGTCTAGTCAGAAATAGAAAGAAGAGAAGCAGATAGAAAGAATCATTCTTTATTAATTAATAAGGGAATATGTGCCCTAAAATGCCCGGGGGTCGGGCTCGCCCCGGGGAATAATCTCTAACAATCATGGGGTTTACATCCCTTAAACAAAGAAAAAGTTTTCCTAATGACTAGAGTGGCTCTTGACGCTTGCACCCCTCCACTTCGGAAAATTTGCTTGAGTGTGCGGAGGGGAGACTTTCCTTTTCTTCTTTCCACTCGGCCCCTAGTAGGGTCATATCCTAGGCCATACTTGCAAGGATTATCTTTGAATTCTGGGGGTTCCCTCATGCCTTGGGAATCTGCCCCCAGTCCTTGGCCAGGATCATAACCGTGCTTCAACATCATGCGGGCTACCTTTGTGTTTCTGGGAAGTCGCTCAATGCTGGCAATTTCGAGCGCTTGAAAAGATGTTTCAAGGGCCTCTTCAGCCGCATCCACATAAGGTTGGGTGGATGGTCCACTGATCAGGATATCGTCTTCTGCTTGCACCGTGACCAGTTTGTCACCCACTATGAATTTGACTTTCTGGTGGAGCGTCGAAGGTATTGCCTTAGCGTCATGAATCCAAGGCCTGCCGAGGAGACAACTGTATGCTGGAGTAATGTCCATGATATGGAAATCGACGTTGAAGGTGGTGGGTCCAACTTGGATTGGCAAATTGATCTCTCCCACTACTTCTCTTTTGATCTGTCGAAGGCTCGAACGATGGTGCTGCTTGGGCGCAGACGGGTTCCTTGGATAGTCAACTTATCTAGTGTGCATTTGGGCATCACGTTCAGGGATGACTCGTTATCCACAAGAACTTTGGCGATGAGGTACTCCTTGCATTTAACCGAGATATGCAAGGGCTTGTTGTGGTTTGACCCCTCTAGGGGGAGTTCTTCCTCTGTGAAGGTGAGGTGATCGTTTGCCGTGATGTGACTGACGATCCTCTCAACCTTTTCTTGGGATATTGTGTGAGGTACATGTGCCTCGCTTAAGACCTTCAGCAGGGCGTTTCTATGCGGTTCCGAGCTCATTATCAAAGATAGCAATGTGATCTTTGCAGGTGTACGGTTGAGCTGGTCTATAATGGAATACTCACTTTGCCTTATGAACTAGAGTAATTCCTCTGTCTCCTCCTTGGATTCTTTATTTTCTTTTTCTTCTTCGGTCTTTTTATTTTCTCCTTTATTTTTGAGGACCTCTTCTTGTGTGTCCTTGGGGGAGTAGATTCTTCCACTTCTAGTTGTGCCCCCAATGCCGGCTATGTTTGTTATTTCTTCTTTTATTGGTGAAGATTCCCCATATCTCCACGGTACAACTTTATTTGACTCGTAGGGGAAAGGACGTGGCATAAATAGTCGCACTGGCGTCCTTGCCCCCTCTTCCTTACTCTTGAGGACCAACGGCTGAGGCTTAATTTCCTCTTGCGATGATTCGACCGTTGGGGTGGGCTTTATTAGGAGTGGCTTTCTCTCCATTCTTCTGAGTTGGGAGACGTGTTAGTTAATCCTTCCTTTTTATTATCTTATTTATTAAGTGTGAAGGAGGGGAAATTTAAAATATGCAAATGAATGCTCATGCATAAAAGTAGACAGTCATTTGAACAAAAAGAAATTTTATTTATTCAAAGAGAAGGTGTACATTCCCCTATTCTATACTGCGAAGCAACTTTTGGCAAAAGCGGAAAACTTTAAAGAAACCCACAGGAGGGTCTTGATTCCTCTGTAGTTCTCTCTCAGCTTCCCGGACATGACGAGCAAGTGCTTCGCTTTGCTTGCGGACCGCCTGGCTCATATCTTCACTGTACTGTTGAGCCTCTTTGATCTTCGCCTCTTGATGAACCACCAAGGCTTGTAGTTCATCGAGCTTTTCAATGGCTCGGTCTTTCTCTTGAAGTACTTGGCTATACTGAGCTAGCCCTTCTTTTTCTTTGTGGCGTAGCTCAGAGAGACTTTTGGTGAGTCTCCTGTTGGCCTCTCGCTCTTGGCAGATGTCTAACCGAGCCTTGAGGAGCCCTTCCGACAACTCCTTGATCTTTTGAGCCTGCTTAGCTGATTCGGCCTCAAGGTGTGCCGTTTTGGCGGTTATCTCTTGCAGTTGACTATCCGAACTGGTTCTGGTAGTTTTGGATGTTCAGATAGCTTGTTCGTTAGCATCGGCACATTGGTCCTTGAGGCACTCTATTTCATGATCCTTTTTCTTGCCTTGCCTTCGCAGACCGTCAATCGTGAGGATAGATTCTTGCTCTTTTTCCTCAAGGGCCCTCATCTGGCCTCCTATGATCTCTATCCTCTGGGTCAAGGCGTCGATTTGAGTCTGCAACCCTTCATTTCTGATGCTCGTAGTGGGTGTGGTGGATGGTTGAGCCACTCCTCTTCTATTTCTCCATGCCTCATAGTCACTGGTGACAGCCACTCGAGCTTTTCCTAGCTCTCTGTCTCCCATGTAGACTGGCCTTTCCCATGCTTTTCTCACAGCTAGTGAGTTGGCGATGGTGCATGGGTCTCCCAAGAAGCACAGTCCTCCGAGCTCCCCTCGGGAAATGATAGTTTGGGTCCTCATGAGCTGCCTCATAGCTACTTGAGGTGAGTAAGCTATGCAGCCCCTGAGTCCTATCAAGGGTACACTCGGATAGTCCCCACATCTGATGAGAACTGGGCCGGGTCGGAACCAAGGACAGACCCAGGATATACTGTTGGCGTCCTTGCGTTCCCACTCATCCCTCCATTCTGAGGTCAGACGACGCTGGAGGGGGATCTTGGAGAAACTTCTCAAAGGGTCGGGGAATATCCCCATGTGACTAGAGGCGTACAGGTGAGTGGCGCTCCACACAAACAGCAATGAAGAGCAGCAGCGGAGTATTTTGCCCTGCTTTTGGTGACAAAATTCCACCGAGAGCAGGGTGTCGACAAGAATAGCAGGTAGGGGACTTTTCGAATTCACGTCCCAGGCGAAGAAGGCGTCCATGACGGCCTGATCTATTGTGTCGAAATGGAAGGGGAACAAGATTGTTCCAAAAATTATGAGTGCCAGGGTTTTGTTGAAGGCAACCCACTTTGTCCGTTCAGCCAGGTAGGACAGGTGGTCTTCAAACATCATTACTTTCCAACCCTGGGTGTTCCCCTTCTTTATCAGGGTACTCTGGCGGAATGGCAACTGAATAAGGGCAGCGATTGGTGCTGCGGGAGTATATGCCTCGTGGCGAACGTGGACCCCGGCTGATTTGGGCCACCTCAACATGGTCTCATACTCCTCTAAGGTAGGCACCAAGTCGAACTGCGGAAACTCGAAACATCGCAGATTTGGATTCCAGTAGTGGATTAGTGCCCTTAAGAACACCTGATCAACACATATCTTTAGGAGGTCTAAAATCCGTCCGTAGGATTTTTCGAAGTCGGCGCGGACCTCTGATGGCATTATCGTGCTCAGCCGTTCCAACCTCTCAGTATGGAAACGGGGAATGTCCACCTTCTTTGTCTGTCTACTTGTCCCCTCCATTTCTAGAACAAGAATGCATGTTTGATGAAAATGATGCTTATTTGTATGTGAGTGTTTATTTTCTATTTATCATGTTTTTCTACATGATATTTGCATATTTTTATTTTGGAAGAATAAACTATCTATATGAATGTTTTATAATATTTTTGGACCAGGTCTTATTTATGAACTTTGGAAAAAATGGATTTTATTTTTATTTGTTTATTTTATAGCCTTTTATCTCTTCTGTCGGAACTGCGTGGCTACTTAGCTTACAAAGAACCTGAAACCAGGCTAGCTAAAAGGCAGACTGTCCGAGATAAAATATGGCTTTATGCGAAAGAGTACTTAGCGTCCCTTATCTCTTCTGTCGGAACTGCGTGACTACTTAGCTTACAAAGAACCTGAAACCATGCTAGCTAAAAGGCAGACTGTCCGAGATAAGGGTGTTTATTTGTAAAGAATATTTTTTTGGTTTTATTTTTGTTGTTTGTTTATGCTATGCAACATATAAATGCAACAATCATATGCACACACAATTCAATCATCCCCGAATAGGCGAGATTTCATTTTTATCACGAGGTAGGGTTTTCCTGCAGAAAAGTGCATTGGCCAAGGTTGGTTCTAACTGTTCTCACCAGGCTAAGGCCCTCAAGGTGCCCCCATTATAGGGTCCCCACTCTCCAGCCGTCCGACCATGCTTAGCACTAAGACCATAGTCAGTCTTGTTGCCAAAAGAGGAAGGTTATCACCTTGAGTGGTGGTTTCCGATCACACTGGTGGGCTCAAGGCCCTCACTACAGCGAACCGTACCTGCCACCCACTCCCTATGGTTATCTCACTTGCCCCCGGGTATAGGGGGAACTGTTGTGTGCAAGGGATTGTGTGCAGTTTATATTTCAAGCAATTTGCGCAAGCATAAGCAAACAACAATTTATTAAAGCCAAACATTAAAACATGTTATAATACAAGTTAAGGGCAAAAGTATTATTTTCATGGTTTATTTATTATTTAAGTCGGCCCATCACTAAATGGGATCAACTCTCGAGGCTTCCCCAGTGGAGTCGCCATCTGTCGCCGCCGTCTCAAAAGAGAGAGGTCGGTCGGAGCGACGCGATGGTTTTTCGACCCTTTTGTTTTCGCGTTTTTATAGGTGGTTACAACGCCTTTAGGTTGTCCGATAACCGGACTAACCTAGGGGCGAGGTTTTCGAAAAGTGTCCTTGGGTTGACCGATAACCGGGCTAACCCAAGGACTTATTTATTTTGGGTTCTGTGGAGTCGCCACCGATGTTTTTACCGAAAACATCGGAAAAGGTTTTTAAAAGGCGTTGGTTTTCGAAAACCAACTTTGGTCGTTAGAACCAGAGTTGGGTAAGGGAGTTAGTTACGTGGTAAAGGAGGTATTAGTTCCTTTACTACGCCCCTTTCGAGTTCCCTATGATAGGCCAGCTTTTATTGTTAATAACCGGAAAATACTCTTTTGCCCTTTTTATTGTGCGGAATTTAAAATGATGACTACATGGCCCTAATCTATTGCATAATTAAAATTAAAGCGTTAAAAGTAGAGGGGGAGAAATTAAACCTCCGAAGCAAGCTTTGTTTTTATTTCTTTAAAAGAAATGGGTGCTTTTTGACAGCCCTTCACTCTACAAGACGTCTGAAACTCTTCGAAACGCCGAAAAATGCTCTCAAAGACACTCAGAAACTCCAGAAATGCGTCAGAGGGATTCTAGAGAGAAGTTTTTAGAGAGAAGGCAGAGCTAGAAGCTTGAGGTGTGTGGAAATGAGGGGGGGAGGACCCCTATTTATAGGTTTTCGCGCCTGGCAGTGGCGAGACTGCTGTTCTCGTCTGACAGGGTCGAGACCACCGTCTCGCCAAACGAGACCGCCGTCTCGTCCTGCCAAAGTGGCAAGACCGCCGTCTCACCAAACGAGACCGCTGTCTTGTCCTTCGCAAGTGGCGAGACCGCCGTCTCGTTTGGTGAGACGGCGGTCTCGCCATTCGCGTGAGGCGAGATGGCGGTCTCGATTTCGAGACGGCGGTCTTGTCCCAAAAAGGCGAGAAAACTTATTTTTTGTGCAAAAAAACCTTCCTATCCTAATATGGGGCCTAATAGTCTCTCCTAGTGGCTTGTTAGGCTTTGTCCATCTTCAAATAGGAGGTCTTCTGGTCTTTATTTGGAGGCCGGGCAAGATTTGGGGTCTACAATTCATTTAAGTGAAGATTACGAGAAATTACGCGATTACTCTATTTTATTGCATAATATTAAAAATGGCTATCTACATGATTTTATTTCATATTGCATACATAAAGCAATAAATAAAGCAGTAAAAGCAGTAAAAGAGAAGAGAAGACTTTATTCGGACGTTGGTTGATGCCGATAGACGCCCGTTGAAGCTTTATCTTCATATAGGAAGTCTTCTTTGGCCTTTTATTGAGATGACGGGCTAGCTTTATCTTGTTATAGGAAGTCTCCTTAGCCTTTATTGAGAGGCTGGGCAAAATTAGCGGTCTACAGATGCCCCCCCTTCACCTGCCTGACTAATTGTTGGCTTAATGTGCCGACAAAATTAGTTGGTAGGGGAAGGAGTTAACCCTTTTTGCCCAGTCATCCTTAGAATGCTCCTTTGCTGAAGTTGTTGATCCTCTGGATGATAAATGCAATATGATGTTGTCTTCAGGATGCTTCCTTGTTAGGGAAGCTGATCCCTCAGATGATATGTGTGAAGCTTAAGGATGCTCCTTTGATACAGTAGCTGACCCTTCGGCTAGTGAATGAAGATTTTTCCCTTAGGATGCTCCTTTGATGTGGTAGCTGACCCCTCAGATAATGAATGTGAACTTCCAGGATGCTCCTTTGATGCGGTAGCTAATCCTGTGGTTGATGAGTATGAATTTCGTAGCTTTGGGATGCTCCTTCGATGCGGTAGCTGACCCCGTAGCTGACGAGTGTGAAGCCTTAGGATTATCCTTCGGAGAGGTAGCCGATCCTTCGATTTGTAGGATGCTCCTTTGGTGATGAGGCCGATCCTTTGATTTGCAGGATGCTCCTTCGATGAGGTGGCCGATCCTTTGATTTGCAAGATGCTCCTTCAGTGAGGTAGCCGATCCTTCGGTCTGCAGGATGCTCCTTCGGTGAGGTAGCCGATCCTTCGGTTTGCAGGATGCTCCTTCGGTGAGGTAGCCGATCCTTCGGTCTGCAGGATGCTCCTTCGATGAGGTAGCCGATCCTTCGGTTTGTAGGATGCTCCTTCGGTGAGGTAGCCAATCCTTTGATTTGCAAGATGCTCCTTTGGTGAGGTAGCCGATCCTTTGATTTGCAAGATGCTCCTTCGGTGAGGTAGCCGATCCTTCGGTCTGCAGGATGCTCCTTCGGTGAGGTAGCCGATCCTTCGGTTTGCAGGATGCTCCTTCGGTGAGGTAGCCGATCCTTCGGTGTGCAGGATGCTCCTTCGGTGAGGAAGCCGATCCTTTGGTTTGTATTTGCTAGATTCTTGTGGGTACTTTCCCCCACTATGTTCGAGTTCGCACTTGCTATACTCGAGACGAGCCCCGTTCTGCAAGGCTCTTAGGATGCTCTCTTTGGCAGTTAATCTTTTGATGAGTACAAACCCTTATCCGGTTTTAGAGATGTGTTGGCGGCTTACTATTTTTTATCATGTGCCCATTCATGGGGAATGATTGATTTTTCTTTCTGACTTTTTTTGTTTTTAGTCATCCGGTCTTGTCGGGGATTCTTTGTTTTTGGCTTTTCTTGTTTAGCCATCCAGTTTTACTGGTGATTTCTTATTTTTGGCTTTTTGTTTAGCCATCCGGTTTTGCCGGGGATTCTTTGTTGATGATTGCCTCTTTATTAGGCAGATGCTTCAATAGTGGTGAAGGCTTTATACCTGTTGTTTTTCGCCTTTGCATAGGCTGATGTTCCACTTGAGGATATTTGCTCTTGATAATACCTCTGAGTAGGCAGATGCTTTATTGGAAGCTTAGTACTTTGTATTGCCTCCTGCATAGGTTGATTTCCCGTTTCTTGGGGATATTGGCTCTTTGCTTGCCTCTGAATAGGCAGAGGCTTTCTTGGGAGT